GAGTGGTGGGAAGCAGGGTGTCCCTACAACATATCTTTTCTGTTCTCTTTCCATTATATAACCAAAAAAGGGCTGACATTTAACAATAATTGATTTGTCCAAAATAAGTCTTGACAGTCATTCTCGAAATTTGCCACCTGGGGGACGGGGAATTAAATAGATTATTCTGAGAAGAATCGAAACTATTACTTAGTCACTCTTTAAATACTAGAAGTCTTGCTTAAACTCCTCTTGCTACTCATCTTTCATCCAACTCCATGTTTTCCACAGTTGTCCACTGTTAATATTCCCACGTTGCTGGTACACATGCTCATTATATGCCCTCATTCCCTCAAGTGCGCCAGCGCTGAGAGTACAGTTGAACACCTGGTCTATTTAACATAAGCAGTAAACTATTCTGGCTGGCTAAGACAGAAGATGAAAGACAGCATATTGAGTTTGAGTTCAAAAACTGTAGTTAAATTCCAGCAGTACCCTGACTAGCCACATACATTTGAGCTAGTTCTTTAGTCTTTATGATACTACAAACCAATATCCCCAAAGTGTATATTTTTAAAGGCAAATATTGGAGTGATACATAAAAATTATATAGCTGTCGTTTGGCAAATTGCAATCATCAGGGTTAATTTTATTTTGAAGTCAAGTGAATTGACAAAACACTAAGAAAGTTGAATTATTTTTACAAAATCATTGTTATGCCATTTGAAATTAGATGCTTCCCTTTATTCATAGTGTCTCAGAATTTTCCCAGTGTTTTGATTTTTATCTATCTTTACCTTGTCAGGTGTTTGATTGGGTTTATTCTTCGTGTTTTATGGCTCAGATTACCCTTCTTGGTATTACTAATAAAAATCTCAATTTAAACATATTTGTAAACTTTACACTAAAACTGGTTGGCCTTTTATAATCTCATGAAATAAAATTGCTCATGTTTATAAATATGTTAATTTTCATAACACATTTTTGTTTCTAAAAGTAATGTATACTTTTGCAAAATTTTTAATAAAAATCATAAATATATTAAAATCATTAAAAAATCAATAAACCAACTAAATAAAAAACCAGTTCAGAATGTGACATACAGCCATCTTTAAAAATGTGCATATACTTAACCAAAATGTGAACTTAAAGTATATACTATTTTGTAACCCTCCCTTCTCATTTTAGAACTTGTTAATAAAGGCTGATAGATTATTTCGGAGAACACTTCCACAGCATCATTTTAATAGTACATGCCATTCATAAAATAGATGTATGGTAATTTACTTTACCATGCTCTTATATTGCAGGATTGGCTATTTTCCATTTTTATTGTAATAAACAATGCTGCATTGAACATTGTATGCATAAATCATTATGCACATACTTAATCATTTCTTTAGGATAAATTACTAGAAACAAAATTGCTGTGTCAAAGAATATGCATATTTTACTTATTTAATGTAACCTACTTTTTAATCATAAAGAAATAAATGCACTTTGGAAATGAGTACTTAAAGGAAAAAAAGAAAAGATTAGTGAAAATATAGTATCACACCTGGTATCACACTTGAGAGGTAGACATTATTAACATTTTAAAATATTTTCTGTAGGAAATTTATTAAGAAGCAAGTATATTTAAATATGCACATTTAGCTTTGTAGAGGTGTAAAATACTTTATTTAACTGGTCCTATCTTGATAAACATTTGGGTTATAGTTTTTGTTTTTATAATCATGGTTATAATAGACATTTTTGTACATTATTTTGTTTGCATTTTGAAGTATGAATGATTTTATTCAGAACATTAAATAGCTTTAGTACTTTTTGATGTGATACACTCCTATTCTTAGACTTGACAGAAATAATTTTAAATTTTAATGGAAAGCTGATATCTCTGTTTTTAATTAAAATGGTGAAACATTAGTCTTTTCCAGAGGAATATTGGATTTGTATATGCTGTTTTATTCAATATTTAATTAATTGTAGGTCATCACATTCTTTTATCCATTTTCTGTTTACATTCATAATAACACAAACTGTTGTGGAGATTAGGAAACTATCCAGGTCATTCTGTTCATTCATTTAGCAAACATTTGATGAGTCTATTTTGGGCTAGAGCGCATTCTAGATGTCAGGAGTGACCCAAGCAAACAAAAATAGCTACTCTCATGATGCTTACTTTCTACAGGGTCATATAAACAAACAACTAAAGTGTAGGTGGTGAAAGATAACAATTCATGCTAAGATAACAAAAATACATACAGGAAAGGAGAATGATTATTGGGTGAGACTTGGTACAGTTCTTAGGTGGAGAAAGCCTTGCTGGAAAGGGTTCTTTGAGGGGACAGTCCAAGGAGATGAGAGAGTTTAATTTGTTTGATCAATGAAGCTAAGTGTGCTGGTCAATTTTATATGTTAACTAAACTAGGTTATAACCTCCATTTATTTAATCATACACTAATGTAGGTGTTACAGAGAAGGTATTTTGTATATGTGAATAAAGTTCATAATCCATTAACCATCAAAAGGAAGATTATTCTAGTTATGGTTGATTGGGCTGATTGAACCAGGGAACAGCCTTAGGAAGAAAGTTGAAGTATCCATAAAAAACAAGAAGTTCTCCTGGACCAGAGAGCTCTAGTCTTCTCTTTCTGATGGTGTACTCTGAAAATTAGAATTTATCTAACCAGCCTTCACAATACAGGAATACTTCATAATAAATTTCAATATAAATTGACTGGTTTTCTTTCTGTGGTTAAAGCCCAAAATATACATAAAACATACCAAATATTTCAAATGTATCTTTTTTTTATGCTGTGAATGGCTAAAATATGTGTGATTTCTTTTTTGTACCAGGGATGGAATTCAGGACCTTGTGCTTGCTAGGCAGGGGCAGCTCCTAAATGTGACTTCGAAAGTTTAAATTTAATCCTCTAGTAATTGAATGAATGCTAAGTCTGAACAGTTTCTGTTCCATACTGGTATTTGGGGAGGGGGCACTCTCAACAATAAAGAGATCAACTAGACAAAAAGCAAAAAGCCAAGTATATAGAAAAATTAACACTATCATTCAACAGGATCTAATTAACATTTATAAAACCCTCCACCCAACAAGAGCAGAAATTGTGGAACATACAGTAAAAACAGCACAAGGTGGATTTTAAAGCAACTTCAATAAATGCAATAGAATTGAAATCATTCAGAAAGTTATCCTTGATCACCATCAAATCCAACTAGAAATCAATAATGAGTAGATAACAGAAACATTTCCACACACTTTGAAACCAAACAACAGATTTTAAAAGGATCATTTCGAAGAGAATGTCTCAAGGAAAATCCAAAAATACATTAAGTTGAATGGAAATCCAACTTCTAGGTTCTAAATGTTCAAGTCTTCCCAAAATTCATAAATTGAAATCCTCAGCCTTAGGACATATAACATTAAAAGTTGGGGCCTTTAGAAGATTATTAGATTGTGAGATTGGCCTGCTAATGAGTTAGATTAATACCCTTATCAAATGAACTGCAGAGAACTAGATAGCTCCCTCCCTTCATGAGAGGACACAGTGAGATGATGACATTTATGAATCAGATAATGGACTTCCACCACACACAGAATCTGCTAACATCTTGATCCTGGACTTCTCAGTCTCCAGAAGTGGGAGCAATAAATTACTATTTGCAATGAGCCACCCACTCTATGATATTTTGTTACAACAGCTAGAATGGACTAATAGACATTGGCATCAAGAAAATAAAAAGAACTCTCTGTGTATGTACATTTTACAAGCTGGAAGAAAGGATTTTTAATGTTTTCTCCATAAATAAAATGATAATCATTTGAAGAGAGATAGATATGCTTATATGAAGAGAGACACATCTTATTTCTGATGTAAACTATACAATACCAGCAATGGTAATTCAACTCATTAAAATTATTTTGTCCATGAATAATAAAATAAGGAAATATAATGTATAAAATATGCTTTGAGCATTTTTCAATATAAAAGCAAAATTAAAATTCTTTAAACAAATGACCTTTTTGAATGTTTAATGGGATGCCTCATAACACTTGCAGTGACTTTTGGTAGTTTGTCAAGCAAGTTTAATTAAAGTAATTCCTTATGGGGCAATCATATCACTCATAAAATCTGAAATATGTATTTAAGATATCCTCAGGTTATAATAATTCAAGCCTATTATGTAAGAACTACAAAAATAATAGTTACACTAATAATAGCTACAATATCTTTGTTAAAGGGGTACATACATTTTTCTAAAAGGATGTTTGCGTATGGTTTCATAGAAATAGTTACATGAACTTTAGTAGATATGATCTTGTAAATGCCACTCTTAAAGGAAGTAGTACCACTAGCAGTAACCTGACATTTATAACGATTTTAAATAATTCAACAAAAGCATTTTTGAGGTTCATGTGCATCTTTTCATATGCAAACTTTGCAGTTCTCTTCAATAATTTAGGTTGTTTGGATATATTTTACTGAACCACGCTTTTTGAATTGAAACATACATTTTCTCATGAGGCAATCAAGCATTTGTAGAGTTCTCTTAGTTTTCTGCTTTATCTAACCTTTTCTGGTTTTGTTTAGCTTCTCTACTTGTGACGAGATATTAGGCCCTTGATAGGTAATATACAAAAAGCGGAAAAATGAAAGAAAAAAGAATAAAAAAGGTGGAAAGGGGAAAAAATGGAAATAAAGCCAATGTAAGTAGCAAGGAGTGGAGGGGTTGAAGGGAGGGAAGGGGAATGGAGAAAAAATAAGAACCAAGTATATCACGTAAAGGTATAAATTCCCAATAGTGAATGTGATCATACTTTGTACCTAAAATGTACCAATAAACTTAAATTTTTTAAAAAGAAAAGAAAAGAAATATATACAGGAATGACTGAAAGGTATGGTAAATATTACATTTTAAGAAATATTACAATAAAACACATTGCCCTCAATCTCTCTTAAAATACTCCCTCTTACTTCAAACACACTCATCACACTTACCCCATCATTCTTGTCACTTTCTGAATCAGTTCTGAGAGTTGTCTTTTGAGAGTCTCTTTACTTGTCCTTTTGTTTCTGGCTGCCTCCAAGTCCCAAATTGATTGAAAACATTTATTTTAATGTTTATTTTGGAAGTTTTTATTTATTTTTATTTTCTTATTAGTACATGCTTGCAGTACATCGTTTTTACATTCCTTGTGTGGAGTTGATCAATGTACATAATGCATCCTAATTCCTTTTTCATCCCTTTCCCTTCTCCCTCCATCTCCTGATCCCTTTCCCATTTGAGAAACATTTATCTCCCTACTTCCTATTATTTCTTTTATTTTGCTCTTTATTTATAATTTGGGTTTCTCATATAAGAGAATGCGTGCTAAATTTTTGACTTTGGGAAGGAGCCCAAAATTGTACAGTGACGGTTCCACTGAATACGGTGGATGGGGAAACACTGCAATATTTTTAGGAGCTTGGCTTTTCATTGGATGGAAGTTAGTAGCAGCAGTCACCATATTTCTAATCATTTTCATTTCAAAAAGTGAGGGAAGGAAGGCAGGGGTGAAGGGGGAGAGAGAGAGACAGAGAGAGAGAGAGAAAAGCTTCTCGGACTTTTGGCTAAGATCAAGTGTAGAGAGAGAGAGGAAGAAGAAGGGGGAGTGGGGGAGGAGAAAGAGAAAGAGAGACATCATGTTCTCAAAATTAGAATTTAAGCATATTATTGCAAATATTAAATTCTGGAAAATATTTTTTTCATGTGCTAGAAGGACATGATAGTACTATTACAATAGCTTTAATTATTCACCAAATGGAAGGCTTGACCCTTAAAGTTGCCAAAACTTGTGCCATCATCACAGTATCTGTGCATCCAAGCTCCATGTTAGTGCACAAAAACAGGCTACAAATAACTAGCAGAATGCCAAATTTAATTTCACAATTGACTCAATAATTTCTTTCTCGAGGGAGTTTAAGAGCTAAGCAGTAGGCACTTTTACATGTCTGGGAGTAGTCTGTTTCATGTTTGCAAAAGAAGTATGCATATCTGCACAATTCAAACATGCAAAGAAAAATTTAGAAACTATAGTCTGTGCAGATTTATATCAATTTTTAGAATATTCATATATCTAAATTTAAAAATTATCTTCATAATTATCTCAAATTATTTTCATATTTTCTCAAAGAAATATAATTAAAGGATTAGTTTCATCACTGTAATATCTAAACTTCACATTGAAGGCAAAGTTGAAATTTAGGGCAGAATTCATATTTCAGATGGCTTAGAATAGATAATTGGATCACTGAAATAACAGATCAGAAAAATATAGCAAAAGAAAAGATTTAGCTATTACAAATTGTGCTGCTATAAACATGAGTATACATAAAAATATATAGCAAATAAGAGGAGATTTATCATTGTAATCTCTAAAATGAGTTTGCCATTCACTAATATAATAGAGACTACACTTTATGAAGCATGCAGTCATTATGTACTGCAAACATACACTAATAAAAATAAAAATTTTAAAAAAGAAAAAATTTAAATGTAAGATTTTATAAATTCTTCCTACTGAATTACTTAATTCATGTGTCTATAAGTGCAGAAAGCATAATGTCAATTACAACTTAATGAAGTTAAAATTATTAATGTTGGAATGATTGAAACAGTTTAACTATCACTTGTCTCTGCCAAGTTTTGACATCAGATGGATTGTAGTTTAAAAATTAAATTTCCATGAATGCTTCAAATAACAAAACTCTTTTTATTTATACCCTATATTCTTAGTCAGTAGTTTTGATGGGCAGCTGCTCCTATTATCTGATGCTGAATAAAAAAAAAAAACCCTACCCACGGAGCCCACTATTCTTTTTTTTTTTGGTAACGGGGATCAAACTCGAGTCCTTGCGCTTGCGCAACAGGCGGCGAAGCCACTGAGCTAAATCCCTGACCCTGGAACCCACTATTCTTAAACAATAATTTTGTATTTTACTTTCTTATGTGAATTGATAGGGCTCAGCTGGGCAATTCTCACTTGGGGCCACTATTGGAAGTATAGTCAAATGCTGGCTGGAGCTGCAGTCAAATTAAGGCTCACTTGAGTTGGACTTCCAGGTCACTCATTCACAAGCTGGCAGTTGGCAATGGCTATTGGCTGAAAACTCAGAAGAGGCTTTTGGTGGGAGAGGCTTTGGCCTCTCGGAGTGGTTTAAGCTTCACATCACATCATCAGTTTTCTGAGTCAGCAAGTGTTCCAAGAGTCTTCATCTAAAGCTGCAAAGCTTCTTATGACCCAGACTTCGGTCATTATGACCATTGTATCATCGTGACAACCACATCCAGTTGGTCGAAAATGAATCACATTAGCTTTCAGCCATGGGAAAAGGACTACATAAGAGTGAGACTGCGAGAGAGCAGGGCTCCTTAAATGAGCTAAAACAGCACCTTGTACTATCTCTTTTGTGTATATGTATATATATATATATGTATATATATATATATATATA